TATATATATATATATATATATATATATATATATATATATATATAGCTAAAGGGTTAAGGTAACTGAAAGCATTTGAGGAAACTGATTGCAACAAACCATTTAAGTTCAAAAACTAATCCTAATGAGCGCTGTGAGCTTTCTCCATTGAGTAAACAAAGTAATTTGAGCACAGTAAAATCCAATATATGACGGCAACTCAAACCAACTGAGTACTGTAAAACTCAATAAGTTAAGGCAACTCAAACTGTTTGAGGAAACTGATTGCTGCAAATCATTTGAGTTAAACTAATCTTTCATTGACGCGCTTCTTACAGTTTGCAGTGAGACGAAAAAACAACACTATATTTTCTTTTCCAAATGCACACACTTTTGTTGTTATTGTGTATACACAAAGTAAACACCTAACAGAATTGAGTGGTGTATAACACTTATTTGTGTAACCAAAATCAACCGAGTATAGTGTCTTTGGCACCAATGAGAAAAAGAAAATGCTAAACACACACAACCACAGTGATCTGGCGACCTCAGAGGGTTAACTTTGACTTTTAGCTCTACAAACTGCTGCTTCAGCTGCTTATTAATGTTTCTAAAGTTAGTAGTTGGGTTTAGATATTGTGTAGAATCAGGCATGTAGTATAAAGTCAAGCAGAAATATATACTTTTAATTCCAACAAACAGCCAGTATCTTAATAATATGCAGGTAATGAGCCACTAGATGATAATGAGTGAGAATTGGTGCTTAAATTAAAGTTTGGCTTACCAGTTGTAATGGTGTTGCTGGTGTTGATGTTCCTAACATCTGAGGTGGGAGAAAAAAAGGCCATGAATTGAGATGAAATTAAGACCTACGTAAACAAAAACAAAAAAAGTCAGTATATTTACCTGCACAGTATGCCAGAAAGCAGAAGGAAGGTTTCACTAGCTCGTAGACAAAATAATCTCCCGGACAGGCTTTGACTTGAATAGCATTGGATTTAAAGGAGCAGCAGTCATTTTCATAGTGCCCGCAGACATCTCGAGTGACTACTCCATCCTCGACTTTTGGATGTCCTCCACTCAGCCACAGTGGAGCATGAGTGCCGCAGCTATACTCATCAACACATGTGTCTGGCATCTGAACACTCTGACCTTCATAAAGCAGACGGTACCAGCCGTTCCAGTTCACCTCACAGTCACACATTATTTCAGAAGAATACAGATTGTTGGTGGCTCTCCAGCGGTTCTCCAGCACATTGTACGTTTTGCAAGGGTCTGTTATGGAAACATTACAATAAAAGTGTGTGAATAAAACTGTTTTAAATTAGACATGACTTTTCATAAATCACTCACCTGTTCCTCTTTAAACATAAAGTTCACCCAAAACATCAAAACTGTCACCATTTCCTCGCCTTCAGGTTGCCTCAAACCAATTTCAGATTTAAAGTCCACATTTAAAATGTTTATTTTGCTAGAACACATTGTTAGTTTTAGGGTGAGCAGTTATTACGTGCATTAGTTTTTTTTCAAATCACTTTTATTGTCACATCATCAGCAGCACATGTGCTATGATGAGTGTAAAACTTAGATGTACTTTTAAAGCTTTTAAAACTTTTTTTAAAAGCTCAATGTAAATTTAACCCTGTGTCCATTACAATGGACATCACTTCACCCCATGTTTTTTTTTTTTCCTGAGCATTTCATCTAATTCATCTAAGTCCATGGACGATTATCATCCAATCAAATAGCGGTAAGGCTCAGCATGTTGTAATGTAAAAAATAATCCACTGAAAAGCAGCAGGGCATCACTTCACTCCAGACACAGACGTGAACTACATTTACAATGTTGTTATTCAGATTTATTGTTATGTTTCCCAATATTTCATAGATTGTATATAAAAAAGAGGGATTGCACTTGCTAATTAAAGTTTAAAATATTTTGTAACATTGCAAGCTTTAGATCAGGATCATGTCTGTCCATTAAGATGGACAATGGCTTCAAGATCTGTTACTTAAATCTCCAATAATGCGATTCAACTTTTTTATATAAAAAAAAAAATCTATATCAATGTGATAATTCATTGCTGAAGCAATTGTATATGCAGAATATACAGATCCTAAAGTTCTTGAGCATATAGCAGATGAAATTATCTCAGGTGTGGACATTATGTGGAGTGATGAGGAAGATAAAGTTTGTTATAAACAATGTGCAATCTATTCAACTAAAACCTCAAAATTAAAGTTAAAATATTGCAATTTTGATGTTTGTGATTTTGAAAATAAATTTCAAGATTATACCAGCAATCATGTATGATTTTTTTGTATTTTATGTTGGTATAATATTTGGTAAAGTACAACTGTTCTGACCTGATGTCCATAGAAATGGACTGTATATATATATGTATTAGTCCGTACTTGAAGGGTGTTGAATGTTTATTATTATATTTTGGTCTCATTTATCAGAGCCTCAAGAACTGTGAAAACCTACTTTTACATTTTTCTGATAGTTGGAGCATAATTCAGGTCTAAAGGGGTTCAAAATAGAAAGGAGGCCTTATCATAAGACAGTCTTGATGTATTTAAGTAAAAAAAGTGACAGAAAAAAAATATTTGGGCAAATAATCCAAAGTCCTCTGTTTGAGGATTTAAACTGCTCAATGTTTCCAAATATGCAAACTGAAATACCACAATAATTAAAAGAGAGAGCACTGATAATGCAATGCGGAATGCTTATCTCAAGATATCATCTGACAGAATGATTGACAGGCCAGTAGACAGGACGCACACACCTACACAGTACGCTATGTTGTTTTAAAGATTCAATTCCATGACGTAGAATAACGCCCTATCAGTTATACACTACGTTATTGTGACATACATAAAAATATGCATATTCTAGTGACATAAAATACTTTAGGGCATAGTTTCAGAGTGAGTTCCCACACCGCACAACCATTAACTGTTCAAACCTTTACTTTATTTCTTATATTATTAAATCCACTATTTAAATAGATTCTCTTTAATGCTGTGAAATAATAGAGATGGGGTTAAATATTTTCATTTCTCACTAGACTAAACATCTGCAAACCTTTAAATGCATTTACAGTGTTTCCCTAAATCTATTTTAATGTTTCCTCATTACAGCTTTTGCTCTCAAAGCAATTAATACAGAGAAAATCATACTTTAGCCGTCAATTTCTAATTAAGGAATGCATTTCATTAATTATTACAATTATTCAATTATTAAAGTGTCTCTATGTTATTAGTTATGATGAAACTTTCTCAATTAACATAATTTCCCTCTTCGTTTTTAACAATTTATTGTGTTTTTCTAAAAAAGCTAATGATCACAGGTTAAAGCAGAATAACTAATATAAAGATATGGATAATAAGATGAAGGAAAGAGTACCTGATGTTTGTCCATTAATGGTTTCACCTAAAAGAAAAGCATAGACAATATAGTCACAAGACAATATAGTAAGACGTGAATATATTTATGATGTGATATTTGAATATATTTTGCATAATTAGGCCACAAATGTGTCTTCAGAGATGTAAAACACTCACCTAATAGCAGTATTAAAACACACAATGAGAATGAAAAGCTCATTGTGGTAAACGCAAACCTTCAATACCTGCACACACACACACACACACACACACACATATACACACTGTGAATTGGTTTTTAGTATTAAACTGAGTATAAAAAAATAAAGCTGCATAGGTGTTGCATTTATTTACTATTTATTTGTCTTAAACTGAGTGTAGCTTGTTTTCAGCATTTGGAAATACTACATAAAATCCTTTGGTCACAGTTCATACACAGAATAGTATTACATGGATTACAATTGTATGATTTGTTTGCTGATTAACGCAAGCTAACAATAAACAATGCTTCAATAGCACTTCTTAATCCTAGTTAATACAAATGTCAACATTTACACACACATTGTCATAATCAGTCAGGATTGGCAAACTTTTAGGATGAACAATTGTATTTAGAATATGTATTTTAAAAAATACTGTAGTTTAGTATATTCATATTTTAATCTTATGATATTTTACTTATTGAAATTATTTATTGAAATAATTTTTTTATTATACATGATAATATTATTGAAATAAAATGTATTTCTTAATATGAATTGTATATATATATATATAAACAAATGTTATCTTTATTATTAAGAATTCACTGTTGTTAATCAATGCATTACCTTAACAAATGAGTCTTTACTGTATTGTTTTGCTACTGTTTACAAACATAATAAACATTTACCAAAGCCAGTTATGGGATTGTTACATTAAACTGTAAAGGTATATAATAAATAAAATGTGTGTTACCTGAGACCAAATGTATCTTCACAGTAAACTCCAGAACACGGTGATGCTTTAATCCAGCTTGAGAATACAATGAGGTATGAACGTTAGGGCTTAGCAATCTTATGCATGACAGTGTTACATGTGGGTGTAACTTTTCTCAAATGTGATGGCTTGACAGTTGTGACAATATACCCCACCTCCAACAATAACTCTAACCATATTCACGTCACATAATGGCAGTGTTTCTTTCTACACCTGCTATTCTGAAATACATTTTTAACATTGAATAGATGAATACTGATGAACAACTACAACACAATCTGATGAATCTTAATTATGGGGAGACTCAGTCCCTAAAACATTTCAGTCTATAAGTATATTTTACACACTTTAATTAATTCCACTGTTTATAGTCTTCCTGAACACACTGCAAATGTTTTATGGGTTAAAACAGATTACAGACATTTTCAGCAGTAATAGAGAGTAAGAAGGTGTCTTAACATCCGTACATTTAATCCAATATCTGTACTTTTTCTTAGCAGTTTTATCCTGGGAAACGTTTGCCTCACTGTATTTTAAGTATAGTATTGTACTTTTTAATAAATGTATATTAGTAAAATTATATTAAAACTGAAATTGTCAGGCAGGTTTTGATATGTTATTCATTTCAATTAATTAGTCAGTCGGTCTTACTGAATCTGATTTCGAGTCAACAACCCAAATGATTCAGATAGACATTCAAGTGATCCAGTCTCCAGTTAGCAATTCACTGATTTAAATGATCTGGATCAGCGTGAGTCTCCAGTTGACGATTCACTAATTCTAATGTTTGAATTGGAGTGAATCTCCATTTAACAAATCTCTGATTCAAATGATTTGTTCTGAGGAAGTCACAAGTTGTTGATTCACTTATTTAAACGATCAGGTCAGAGTGAGTCTCATTTTGTTGATTCAGTGATTCAAATGATTTGGTCAGAGTGATTCTCAAGTTGTTGATTCACTGATTCATACGATCTGGTCAGAGCTAGTCTTAATTTGTTGGTTTACTGATTCAGATTATTCAATTTCCAGTTGACCCTGATTCATTTAGAATGAATCTCCAATTAACGATTCATATCTCCAATTAACGATTCAATCACTTATTCATAGGGTCTAGTCAGAGTAAGTCTCAAGTTGTTGATTCACTAATTAACATTTTTCAGTTAAAGTAAATCTGCAATTAATGAATCACTGATTCAAACGATCTGAAGTTGTTGATTCACTGAATTATATGTTTCGATTAGAGTGAGTCTTAAGTTTTGATTCATTGATTCAGATTATCAGGTCTCTGTTGTCAGAGAGAATTTCAAGTTGGGGATTCACTTATTCAATTGATGCTGTCAGACTAAGCCCAACTCACTGATTGAAATGATCTGGTCAGAGTGAGTCTCATGTTGTTGATTCCCTGAATCAAATGATCAGGTCAGAGTAAGTCTCAATTTATTGATTCAGTGATTCAAATAATTTGGTGAGAGTGAGTCTTAAGTTGTTGATTCACTGATTCAAATTATTTAGTTAGAGTAAAGCCACAGTTATTGAGTCACATATTCAAATGATCTGGTCAAAATAAGTCTCAACTTGTTGATTTACTTATTTAAATTATCTTGTCAGAGTGAGTCCCATGTTGTTGATTCACTGATTCAAATGATTTGGTCAGAGTGAGTTTCAATTTAGAAATTCACTGATTCTAATGCTCTAGTCAGAGTGAGTGTCCAGTTTGAGATTCACTGATTCAAATTATCTGGCTAGAGCGAGTGTCCATCCAGTTAGCGATTCACTAATTCAAACGATCTGGTTCAGACTGAGTCTGCAGGTTGCAATTCACTGATATAAATGATCCTTATAGAGTTAATCTCATTGAATGGGTCACATATTTGAATGGTCTGCTCAGAGTGAGTCTCTAGTTAGCAATTCATAATTGTAATCTTAAATTGTAGGTCAGTTGTTTATTATTAATCAGCTGTATAAGGTTGGGATGTTTAATCCTATACTGTATCAAATGCTTAAAAGTGGACATTCTGTATTACTGCCTGAACAGGTTTTAATAAAAGCTACTATAACACTATAAAATAGCACACATTAATGGTCCTCTATTATCCTCACTGTCATAGCACACATAAAGCATGTTTTCATATTGTTTTCATTTCACACATTTAGTATCTTCTGTACATGTGTTTATTAACTAGATTAAATTGTATATTATTTTATTTGGATTTATTTGCACACTTGAATTATCTTTTATGAATTATCATCTAATTATTAGTAGTCATAGTAGTAAAATTAAAAAGTTCATAACACTTCATACTTTCACTCTAGTACTTGATTTGTGTACCTCATCCAGCCCTGCACTAGTATATCACAAACGTGCAATATACTAAAATCTCCACATCAATCTTAATTTCCCAGTCAAAGACATTGACCCTTTTTACATTAGAATGTGACCTGTATAGATGAATTACCGGTTTGTAAACATTCAGGATGCGCGCAGCGAGGTTCCAGAACAAAAACAAAATTTAGTGAAAACAATTTACAGTAAGGGAATGACATCCAATGCAGTACAGAGTTTGTTGTTGTATTATAGATAAGGTAAATTGATTACATATTATATATATTATTTACATAATGGCTGCAGCGTTTTATCACAGCTTGTCACCCAGTGATAATCTCAGCGATTTAGCAAAATTAACGTTAAAGTGAGCGGCATTAATCTGACAGGTCAATCGCAATAGCACCCTCGCAATGAATATCGGATAAAACGAAATAGCCTAGCATCCGGCCTGAAATATATAACTATCTCATTTAAACTCCAAGTGACTTTACAAGAGAGAAGTTAAAGGCCTACGAGTCTTTGGATGCCTACAAGTTTGTTTTGTGTGGTCATGTGCAAGAACTAATGGTCCATGATCACCAGATTCAAAACTTTGAGGCTCTGCCAAAGACAAGGAAAGAAGATGGAGCTGTACAAGGCCTGGGTAATAATTCACCAACAAGCAAAACAGCTGCATTCTGACCATGAACTACACCTGTACGGCGGGGAATGTGTACTTAATTGTTTACATTTTATTCTTAGCATTCAGTGTTCGCAGTTTAATTCACCATATTTAACTGTTTTTGCTGAAATCATTGCTGCAATCTAAAATGGGCAATGTGTTTGATTCAGCAGAGCGTAAGCTTACCTGATATGAAACGAGAACTGCAGAGTCCAGCATTTTTAATTAGGTCCTCACTCCATTCAGCTCCCTTTTAGTCAAAGATGTCTGTGGTTGGCAATAAAAGCAGTGTGGTGTACGGTAAAATTTAAGTTTTCTATTTTGGCATCCTACCGTACAACACGACATGTTTGCTATTGCAACCGGCCTGTTTTTGCAATCGCTATGCATGTTTATTTTTCTATGTAAAAATAATAATGATATTGTTTTATTATTAAAAACTTTACAGTTTAGCCCCAAAATATTAATTAGTTATAATATTAATTATAATATTGATTGTCTTCATATTTTACCCTATCGTTCAAATCAGGTTTTACTGAATTAATGTGTTGTTGTGGGACCCATACTTTCACTCTAGTACTTGATTTGTGCACCTCATCCACCATTGCACTACACACACATTGTGGTTGTGGTTAAGACTGACTAGTTACTTTCACAAATGTGCAATATACCAAAATCTCCACATCAATCTTAATGTCTTAGTCAAAGACACTGACGCTTTTACATTAGAATGAGACCTGTATAGTGTAGTTTGTAAAACCATTAATGATAGTGTTTTATTATCCAAAATATAATTGTGTAACAATGTGTGAAAATAAATATACAATAATCATTTGATGACATCACAGTTTAGTCCTAAAATATTGATTAATTATAATAATAATTATTGGTGGCACAGTGGGTAGCTCTGTCACCTCACAGCAAGATCACTGGTTTGAGTCCTGGCTGGGCCAGTTGGCATTTCTGAATGGAGTTTGCATGTTCTCCCCTTGTTGGTGTAGGTTTCCTCCGGGTGCTCCGGTTTCCCCCACAGTCCAAAGACATGCATTATAGGTGAATTGGGTAAGGTAAATTGTCCACAGTGTATGTGTGTGAATGAGAGTGTATGGGTGTTTCCCAGTACTGGGTTGCAGCTGGAAAGGGGTATTTTTCTGAAATGAAGATGAAGTAGGGTGAAATCAGTCCATATATTGTAAGCCTGGATCAATCTGATTGGATTATTACTGATTACAAATGAGAGGCCAGCCGTGATTAATCATATCACATGCTCCTCTCGAAAATAGTTTATAAAACTTCACTTGTTAAACCCCAGGATGAATAGCTACTGTATGTTAGTAGTGGCTAATGCGATCTAAATAAAAATAAGCAGCAATTCTTAGTTTGGACTCTGAACACTTTGTGATTTGTACCTTTGTTTGATGACAAAACCAGAAATAGATGCTATATTTAAATCATATTAATACAATATTTAATATTGAGGCTCCTTTGTAGTTCAGTTTACAAAAGGTACAGTTACTTAGACGGCACCCAAAAGCTAAAACGTAGTTTAATACATTATAATTATTTACTCCTAAATGATACATATTAGTACACTAAAATTACATTTTAGTGCTGTAAAACAGTACAAGTATAATTTAGGACACCGCCCAGGTGACAGCTACTGTTTTCTGAGACAAAATTTACAACCAAAACCTAAACCAACACCTTGTAGCACTTTTGTAGTTTTATAATTTAATTAATTTATATTTTATTTTATGCATTTCTTGCTCGTTTATTGATATGAACTATATCTATATTATTTTCATTGCTTTCCATTTTGAAATTACTATAATAGAAACAGGTTGTGTATTTATCTATAATAGTATATGATTATGAAATTTGGGTGGATCTGTGCCATGTCGTTTGTGGCCCTGCCCGTAATACACAACGGCGACATTATGACGTGCATTGTGTGTGTGTGTTGTGATATTTTAGTGCAGGCCTAAATACAGCGTTTTATTTCAGGCCCATATTGGCAGCTTTGACTGGCAGAACCGGCTGTCAATCAGGGAGGATCAAA